GTTTTAAGCTGAGATTCTTTTTAACATCAAGAGTCTTCAAAGCACCCAAGTATATTCTCCTCTGACCCCCATGAGTGTGCTGGGCAAGTGCAGTGAAAGAGAGAGAAGAGAGGACGTGGCAGGATTTTTATTTCTTAGAAACATCATGAAAAGACCAGACGGTTTTTTAATGAATCTGTGTCATCTGGTAGGTGTTTTGTTGTTTTATCCACTGACCAGCAATAACACTTTGGACTAAGTCACTTGATCTCCCTGTACCCATAAAATAAAGAAGACAATAATACTTGTCCAGGAAGCTGTTGGGGAAAATGAAATCATACAGATGGAAGTATTTTGAGAGCGTTGAAAGAACCATTTATACTTATCCGTGGGATTCCTTTTCTTTTCTCTTTCTCTCTTTCTTGAATGAGGTTTTAATGTTCATGCAATAGAAACCCTACTCCATTGTTCACGCTAACACAAAACCCCAGCTCTGATAATCCAGGAGCGCAGGCAAGTCCAGAAATCAGTCCCATTTCATTCCGGATACCTTTTTCCAGGGGACTTTGCTTCCTAATTAGTTTTGCTCGGGCTAATACAATGGCTTTGCTCCCTTCCAGCACACAAAGGGAGGGGCCGTACTGAATAACAAAGACGGCAATTAACAGAAAATTTACAGAAGAGACACCACAAAGTGAATGCTATGCACATGACTGCAGATCAAAATCTCATGGTACTTTACAGACAAATCGCTCAGCTGTGATGCAGTTTTGGAACAAGAACAGCGCTAACATACGTTTCCGGGATTTAGGATAGGAAAAGGAAACGGGGCTCATTCCTGCCTCTCCTCTAGAAGCTCTGGGAGGGCAGCATCCTATTTGCCTTGGCCACACTAGATGCCCAGCACCTGGCACAGGGTCTGGCAGAGTCTCTGCCCAATAAACACACGTTGAAGAAATGAATGAAAATAGAAGCGTGTGAATTAACAAAGGAAATGTTCCCAGCCCAGTAGCAGAAGTGAGATCTCACCCATCTTCACACCTACCCTTTTCCTAGTTGAAGCCCTCAGGAAGCCTTTCTGGTCACACACCACCCACTGCTGATGAGGTCCCCTTGTCATGAATTCTCATGGCAGGCAGTAGCTGTCCCATGCAGCACTTACCCCATGGTAATCATATAGTTATTGGTGTCTGCCTCTGCTACCAGATGGTAAACTCCTTGAGGAAAGGGACCATGTGCATTTGGGGGGTGTATTGTCATTCCCCTCCAACTTTTTATTTTGAAAAGTCTTGAACACAGAAAAGTTGGGAAATAGTACAATGATCATCCATATACCCTTGACTTAGATTCCATGTAAATTTTCTTCAGTGCTATATCCCCAGCAGAGGTGTGGGTGAATACTGGGATTTTTTCTCCCTGTTCAGGGTAAAATATTATTTTGTGTGAAGTGGTGGATATGGCTGAGGCAGGGAGCTTCAAAGGGAATCAAGGGGAAGTGCCTTTTGACAGCAAGCCCAGGGTGCAGCCACCTGTAGGCAGATGCCCTAAGACACTTGCCCCAGTTAGGGCAAAGCTAGGCCCTGCAAGCTCTTCCATTAGGGAGAAAGACCATTGCTTGGCTGCTATTGGAAGAAAGCATCATTTCCCACATTTTGGATTGTTTCAAGCCAGAATCAAGGTTCTTTCTATGGGCCAGCACTTACAGTCTGTCACTCAAAATGAAACACTGAAAGAAACAGCTCAAGAGCCAGCACATGCACTGTGCCTGGCTAGGTTACCTGGGACAAGTCATGTATCCTTGGAGGTGGGACCATCCCAAGAATCTGCTATAGTTCCCTAATTATTGTGTCCACAATTTGCCTCTCCAACTAGACTATAAGCTTCAAAGCCAGGAACTATTTACTACCTTTTTTTATATAGTTGACCAGGGCTAGCCATGGTGCGCGACATTTAGCAGTCAATCAAATAAAACACCTGGGGTAACAACAGAGAAATTGTTTTGTCATGAAGAATCTTTGCAGAGTTCATTCAGATGGGATGGGATTGTATTATGTACAGGAGAACTGAACTTGCAAGTTGCATGCATGCCCAAATAAGGGCCCTACCCAACAACTCTAGGGCCTGTTTTAGTCTAGCCAGAGTGACCCTCAACTGACTCTGGAAAGGACACACGAACACACACACACACACATACCAGAGGACTACTTGCATGGCGCCATGTCTCAGAGCTCACTAGACAGAACTCTTAAGCCAGGCATACTCAAGTTTATTCCCCAGTCTTCTCTTCCCAACCCCTGGATACGTGTGCCCTGGAAGAAACAAGCTGCAACTAGACGTCCAAGGTCTCCTGAGTTAATTCCATCTTCCCCTGGTGAATTACAACTTCTTGCAGACACAAAGGAGAGCAGAGAGACAGATGACACATTAATCAAGAGCTTCACAGGCTGCAGGAGGGGGGCATAGAGAGTGACGTCAGTTTTCCCAGAAACCCATTTATCACGATAACAAGGTCTCAAGTGCTCAGGCTGCTCTTTGAGCTTCAGAATCTGGCGTACAATTATGTTCTTCATCACACAGTACGGCAGGGCCGGCCAGAGCAAACTGGAACCATGTAAAGCAAACTGAGTGGCCTTAAACTACCCCCACCTCCATCTGCAGAACAAAGGGATTTCTGCGTTGTGTTGTGCCTGAGGTGAAACACAACCTTCTAGAAAGTTCCCCTGTGTAACATCTGCCCTGCAGTCCTAATTCAGGCAAGGGGACTTGTGAAAGCTAGACAGGTCAATGCAAATTAATTAGCTGACAAGAAAAATCATTAGCATCCTTTTTTGGTCACTAAGGATGGGGCAAGTGTAATCTAGGAGACTAGTTCTTCTACTTAAGCCATGCCAGGTCTAAAATACAGGTAAACGAGGAGAAGAAAAGCACTCTGGGAACCCTCAAAACACTTAAAGTAATAGATATTACAGTGCCAAGCTTGGGGAAAAGAGAACTGTTTTCCTTATCCCAGTGCATCCTATCTACTCTGAGTTCTTCCACATCATGAGTACATAAAGAGCTCCGTGCTGGGGTCTGCAGGGTTAGGGGGAGGTTCCAGAGTAATAACTCTGCCCTTCCAAACAGGGACAAGAGGGTGGAATAAATGCATACGCATCCTGAAGAGAAAACACATGGATTCCAGATTCAGATTTTAAAAACAAATCAATTTTAATTACAACAAATATCTAGAGGCTATTTTTTTTTTTTTTTGCACTGGAATTGCCTTGCACAGACTATTTCCTTAGTAAGTAAAACAGGTTTTAAAACATGTGTGTGTGTGTGTGTGTGTGTGTGTGTGTGTGGAGATTTTCATCAAGTAGTATTTGGTGTCATGGGATTTGACCTACCTCAATTTCACTCTCCTTCTTGGCCTCAGGGTGCTGGTAATTGTGGGCTTCTGAAAATTCCAGAAACCCATGGATGAATAGAAAGGCTAGGTTGTTCCCCCAAATGGAATCATCCCCTCCCTTTGCAACCAAACTTCTGGTCTAAAACAACAAACAGGGAGCCTCGGGTCACTTCAACATGATTTACGTGTATATCTCGGGCTGGAACACTTTAGTTCTTTAACTGAAGATTTTTTTTTTTTCCCCTAGAGTCTGTTGCCAACAAAAAGAGAGACAGCACCGTTTTTGCAAACCTCACAGTTATTTTCCTGAGTCCCCATAGAAAGAAGCCAGCTCCACAGGTTTTGGCACACAAGCCCAGTTCCGCTGAACACACACCATCACAGACCCCCGGAGGCCCGCACAGCCCTGGTCAGGTGCTCAGAAACCTGCCCAAATACGCAGCCAGCCACCTACAGGCCAGCGGACTGCACCCCACACAGACGCGCCAATGGGACCCAGAGGCACGCAGCACAAGCACAGAGGCGTTTGGACGCACAGCCTGAGGTGAGCACACTCAGAGAAACTGGCCAACTCATCTAGGGTCGGAGGGCAGCGGGGTGCCGCCGCCCGCGGGGAGGCACGAGTGCGCGCGCGTGCACTCGGACGCGCACAGTGCTCCACACTCACAGGCGCAGTCACATATGTAATGCATATGGAG